GGTGTTATGGAGGCCCAGGATGCTTCGATAGCGGCCTTAAGCTCATCCAGAGTGTTGGGTCTTGCGTCTCTCAACTTTCTCTTCACAATATCCCACAGGTTCTCTATGGGGTTCAGATCAGGAGAGTTGGCAGGCCAATTGAGCACAGTAATACCATGGTCAGTAAACCATTTACCAGTGGTTTTGGCACTGTGAACAGGTGCCAGGTCGTGCTGAAAAATGAAATCTTCATCTCCATAAAGCTTTTCAGCAGATGGAAGCATGAAGTGCTCCAAAATCTCCTGATAGCTAGCTGCATTGACCCTGCCCTTGATAAAACACAGTGGACCAACACCAACAGCTGACATGGCACCCCAGACCATCACTGACTGTGGGTGCTTCACACTGGACTTCTGGCATTTTGGCATTTCCTTCTCCCCAGTCTTCCTCCAGACTCTGGCACCTTGATTTCCGAATGACATGCAAAATTTGCTTTCATCCGAAAAAAGTACTTTGGACCACTGAGCAACAGTCCAGTGCTGCTTCTCTGTAGCCCAGGTCAGGCGCTTCTGCCGCTGTTTCTGGTTCAAGAGTGGCTTGACCTGGGGAATGCGGCACCTGTAGCCCATTTCTTGCACACACCTGTGCACGGTGGCTCTGGATGTTTCTACTCCAGACTCAGTCCACTGCTTCCGCAGGTCCCCAAGGTCTGGAATCGGCCCTTCTCCACAATCCTCCTCAGGGTCCAGTCACCTCTTCTCGTTGTGCAGCGTTTTCTGCCACACTTGTCCCTTCCCACAGACTTCCCACTGAGGTGCCTTGATACAGCACTCTGGGAACAGCCTATTCGTTCAGCAATTTCTTTCTGTGTCTTACCCTCTTGCTTGAGGGTGTCAATGATGGCCTTCTGGACAGCAGTCAGGTCGGCAGTCTTACCCATGATTGCGGTTTTGAGTAATGAACAAGGCTGGGAGTTTTTAAAAGCCTCAGGAATCTTTTGCAGGTGTTTAGAGTTACGTCGTTGATTCAGATGGTTAGGTTAATAGCTTGTTTAGAGAACCTTTTCATGATATGCTAATTTTTTGGGACAGGCATTTTGAGTTTTCATGAGCTGTATGCCATAATCATCAGTATTAAAACAATTAAAGACCTGAAATATTTCAGTTGGTGTGCAATGAATCTGACATATATGAAAGTTTCATTTTTATCATTACATTATGGAAAATAAAGACCTTTATAACAATATGCTAATTTTTTTATAAGGACCTGTATAACTCATTGATTTTTTTTGCTGTGCTGCGCTGAAATTGGGTGGTAGCTGAGAGTGAAGCCCAACACACGTCAAATCAAAAATTAAAAATGGCCACCATGTGGCAGTCCCCATAAAAGCATCTCCAGGAACTCCCTAGTTCTCTTTCCTTTCAGGGGGCGATGGTTGCTAAATGAAGCTAACCATCCAGATGTGGTGTCAACAAACACCCAACAGGAATCCAATGTTTTCATCTGGAGCGTAAAATGAAATGAAAGGTGAGTTTGTTGTGTTGGAGCGTGGTGAGGTGAACGAACATCAAGATGGTTACATACTTGTGAGCAGCTGGGTGGAAACTTCTCCCTGATTCTGACAGATCTGTTCTTCTCTGCACCGGACCATCAGAACACGATGAATGATCACCACTGATCCGTGGGCTGATAACAGAACCAACTGTTCCTCCCTTCTTTATAACAGAGGAGGGGTTTCCACAGTAACGAGGCTGAAAGCTTTACACATTGGTTTGTTAAACTCACTCTAGATTTTGTTTTAGGAAATTCACCTCTGGTTCACACCAACATTACATTCTTATGTTTTACAGTCACAAGTTTTATAGTCTTTTTTAATTTAAATATTAAATGTTTTCAACCATAAAAAGGAAAGTATCGAATAGTAACTTTTGAACGGTTTATTATGGAGAAACAGATGAGATGGCGAGTTTAAACGCAGCCAAGACCAAAGTGGATTTTATCATCTTAAAACGACTCCAATCTTCAAAACTTCAACGAGCTTCATGCAAACACTTAAGCTTCAATGTCAAGGTCACAAGTCAAGGTCAAATCTTATACAAGATATTTGTTTGTCAGGTCATTTCTATAGATTGAATATAGTTTGTGGACAGTTAGAATATCATGAAAAAGTTGATTTATTTCAGTAATTCCATTCAAAAAGTGAAACTTATATATTATATTCATTCATTCATTACACACAGACTGAATGTTTATTTAAATGTTGATGATTATAACTGACAACTAATGAAAACCTCAAATTCAGTATCTCAGAAAATTAGAATATTACTTAAGACCAATAAAAAAAAGGATTTTTAGAAATGTTGGCCAACTGAAAAGTATGAGCATGTACAGCACTCAGTACTTAGTTGTTGCTTCTTTTACCTGGATTACCACAGCAATGCAGCGTGGCATGGAGTCCATCAGTCTGTGGCACTGCTCAGGTGTTATGAGAGCCCAGGTTGATCTGATAGTGGCCTT